TACAATCAACCATACCACACCTGACTTGAATTATTTAGTGAAAATGAGCCACGTTGTAAGGACAGCAATAATAATAATAACTTGAGAGGAATTGCTATGGTACCCATGAAAATTGAAGAGTTTTGGTACATCACATTATATAAACAAATAAATTTTAAAAAATAAATTTAAAACAACATAAATTTTAGATTAAAAATTTGTATAAAATAAATCAATTAAAAAAATTAATTCAAAAAAAAATAATCAAAAGATCAATTTTTATAACAAATTTTATTTATATCTGACCAAATTAAAAAATTAAAAAAAAAATATAATAATATTATAAAAACATTAAAATAAAAAAAATAAATAATACAACTGAAAAACTAATTTATACTATAAATTCAAAAAAAAAATTATCACCAAAGAAAAACTAAAACATATTAACAAAATATTAATATTAAATTTTTTAATTATAATAGATGCTATATTAAGATATAAATTAAAAAATATAAAAATACAGATAAATTATTAAAAATATTAAATTAAAATAAAAAATAAAACAAGTAATTATAAAAAAATAAAAATAAAAAAAATAAAATGACTGTTCCGGTATCCCATAATTATAGTAGGTACCGTAGAATTTCTCTAACTTGGTTGTTTCCCATGTTTCAACATCACTAGTCCGTACCATCATAGTCCAAAGCACAACCTTGGTGATAAACAAATGCTCCGTGATGCATGTGTGCCCATCTGTCGACAATTGGATCAGGACCATTGGCATCGCATGGACATCCTTCAAGTTTCAATCAAGATTTGGACCCAAAAAATAAAGGTTTCAATTATGATTGTGATTTGTGATGTATAGTTATGTTCTCTTGTGGAATTTTTTTTTTTCGAGGAATGTTAGGAATACTATCTGAATACACTTTTTAATACATTTTATAAATGATTAAACTTTATAAAATTATAAATGAAACTCATTAAATAAAAAATAGTTTACAAAATTTGTAATTTTTAATATAATTTAGTCAATAATAGTCAAGAGTGTTGAGGGTTAAAAAAGGATATGTTGCATGTCTACAACAAGTCCAATTTTCTTTCTGTAAACAAAATAAGTCTTGAGGTTGAGGCTTTATTGGATTTTACTTTTGAGCCTTCAACAGAAAGTCATAAACAAACATTAAAAAATTACATGAGGACTTGTAACAAGTCCAAAAAATTAAGCCTTCGGCCTAAGGGGTTACCAAAGGAGTTAGATCCATTCGTAAGCCCAAGAATAAAAAAAAAAAAAAAAAGCAGAATCAGAACAAGAACGGATACTCTGCCTTGCACAGATGCTGGATCAATTTTCAGGTCATCTCTATGTATGAAAAAATATTTTATAAGAGAGATCTGTTTCTTAAATGAACCACCATATTTCGAGGGTAGGGTCAAGCATGATAACCTGCTATAAAAAGTTAACCATAAAAATAACTATCTGGTTTTATAATTACAAGTTAATTTTAAATGTCATAAAAATTAATCATATGATAAGTGGATATTATAACTAAATCATAATCGGATTTGGTTTGGTAGAACTGATTTTAATCTTTAAAAAACTGGTTACATATCATTTTATTACTTTATTATTATTATTATTATTATTATTATTATATAACCGGTTAAAACCAAGATTTATTTTAAAAATAAAAATAAAACAAATAGTTTTAACCTTTAAAATTAGTTTTAATTAAACATAACACGATCGTTAAAGTACAAAATCGGTTACAAAAGTGTGTTAAGTATAAAATGGGCTTTAAAAACTATTTTATTTTAAATTTCAAAGATGGTTTTGCTTATAATTAACTAATTAAATAATCATTTTTTAATTATAACATGTTATATTATCAGTTTTGGATACATAACCGGTTATATAAGCATTTTTTCTATTAAGAGATTAGTTTTTGATTATGAGCTGAAAGATACAATGTGACTGAGTTGTTTATGCTTCTACCTATGTTCTTAGTTTTGTTGTTCTATTTTTATTTTTATTTTTTCAGATGTAAGAAGAGAAAGGGACATGGAAGGTTGCCAATCTAGTTAGACTGACAAAGATTTGCAATGGCGAGGCATTGATGGAGAAGCATTTGCAGGGCAGACAGGGGTGGGGGAGGCGTTCACAAGGTTGGCCAAGGGAGGGACTTTCTGCTGTGGGGTTGGGAAGGTGGCGGCCATGCCAGAAAGACAAAGGTGGAAGGAATTTTTATTTTTTATTTTTTATTTTTATTATTATTATTATTATCAACACTTCCACATTGATTAATAGATTACCATATTGTTATTTATTTTTTTCACTTCTAGTTGGCTTTTACTTTCCTAATGAAGTGTTAAAAGATAATTTACCATCATATTATTTTTATGTGTTGGCAAATTCCTCTATCTATTTACCTCTCTCTACAATTTTTTTTTTATAAATATTATGATGACGATAATATTAACTACTCTCTAAGAAAAAGAATTTACACATTTTTTTTTGTTAAATGTAAACAAGTTTTAATTACTTTTATTTTATTTAATGATATTTTTTAAAATGTTCTTCATTATATGCATAATCCTTTAATTACCCCACTTTTTTTGAATAAGACAATTTAATAAGAATATTATAAATATTTTCTTTAATATGTGCAACATCATTTACTCTCACTAGACTACAATTTTTTGTGTTTAATTTTTTTGTACACCCTTTAACAAATACTGAATACCAGAATATTAAGAATAATATTTTATTTTAATATTTTTAACAAAAGTAATTATGGAGTTTTTCTTTTGTTTCTGTATAAAGAGATATAATAAAACCTTCCCACCCAGTCAGAATTTTTAAAAATAAAGTGATATTTTCGTGGCGTTGTGATGTCAGAATTAGTTATTGATCCCTTTGTTTTATTTATTACAACTTACAAGATGAATGAGAATTATGAATGCGTGTTGAAAATGACATGATTTACGCTTGTATTAGTCAATCACTTATTTCTTTATATTTAAAGTTTTACCTCACACTCCACAAACCTCTAAATAATGAACTTCAAGCCTTTCAACATAGGATATTATAGTAGCTTGTAATGAGTTAATTTTCCACGAGATAATTGTGCATTTGGCATTCCCATCAACAAAGCCTCAAAGATTGTTAACAAGCGACACATCGAAACAGCTCACAGTTATCTCTTTCCAATTGAATCCGAGTGGCAAATCTGAATGGGATTCTCCTAAAATCATCTTTCACAAGATAAAGACAGAGCAATGAAGAAAGGGTCCAAAGAGAATCTGAACATATGTTGAAATTTCAGATTTTCCCATCTACATCTGCCTCAATATTATGAGATTGTGTTTGTGATTCAAGTATCACATGATTGGACCTTAGTTTAAAATCAGATCATGGGGTTTTTGAACTAGGTATCTCCTAACCTTCTTCTGTGGGCTCCAAAAAGTGTAGCCTAATTTATTACCACATCTAGTGCGTTTCATAGTCACACCTTTTGTTTTGTTGCTTGGTTTTATTTTTTCACTTTCCAGGGAAAATACAAGGAATCATTGATTAAGTACTCACATTGCATTATTGATGCACCTAAACTCCATCACCTCAATGAACAAACCCCATATGGGGGGACCCCATGCCATGTAGAGTCATAGCAACAATGGGCAATTAATGTGAGAGTACTTGGTCCCCTTGTGTGACAAAAAGAGCTGTGACTTTATGTGTGTTGGAAAGGACCCCCCATGTCCCTACACTCATGCCTTTCACCACAAAAACCCATTTTAGTCCGTTTCACTTTTAATGATAATTGGAGACATCTTGTCCTATTCTATAATTTCATCAAAGTTAAAAAACCCATCCGCAACCTACATGAATTAAATTTCATTTGTGTGATTCACGCACGAGGTTATTTTTCACTTCACTTGCATACCCAATACTCACTCCTATTGCCAATTTGCCATCAACATCATGGACTAAATTGATTTCTTTTCTGTTTAACAAAACATATGAAAGTACATTAACATGGGACGTGAAGAATTTCAAGAGTATGGTCTATAATACTTTACATCGGTGAAAGTGGAACCATGGGGAATGTCCAAACAGAAATGTTAACTATTGGAAGATGGGATTTAGGGTGGGGACCCACGGTGATTCCGAATCCTAATGTCCATATTTTAGGGCACTAAATAAAACGATGCCAGAAAAAAGTATTTCATGATTTCAAGACATAATTAAGAGGAAGAGAGTGCT